TTTTTAAAAGCAAGCTTTGCAGCTGCTTTTCAAAAATAATCTTGAACATTAGTATTCTAAACCTCAAAACTTAAAAAGTACATACACAAGTTATACCCTTAACTCTGATTCTACGATCACATGCTTTCCAATTTGTCTATTAGAGATCCTCACAGCAGTGTAACAAAAAAAAAAAAAATGCTCATACAACTGATGCAGCAAAAACTCACCTCAGAAACATTGCCAAATATACGGAGTAAATGTAAAGCTACCTTTTATGTAAAACCTTTAAAGCAAACTTAAAATTAACCCCTCCCCAACTGAAGTATTAGTACTAGTGAGACTTGAAAGAAAGCTTTTATTAAAATCAGAAAAACACAGAAATGCACTTTTTCCATATATATATATGGTTTTATTTTTTTTTAATCAAGAGAAAAGCTTCTAAGAGGTGAATGGTCCTGTAAGCAACTGAATTTACCTTAGAAAACAAACAACCCACCAAACACCAAGTTCTTTAGAGCCATCCAAACTGCCAACATTTAAGGAACAGTGGAGTGAATCACCTCTCTTGGATGGTGGGGGGAGGCATTCAAAGCATGTTTCATGGAGAGCCTACTCTCATTTGTTATCACAGACTTCTTGCATGCCAGCTTTGACCATACAGTTACAGTAAGCAAATGGTTTTCATAGTAATGAAAAATTACTTCAACAGCAGTTAATACTAACTAAATAGATAGAATCTATTCCAGCTTCTTCCTCAACGCCTTGCTATGCTTCATTACTCTCAGACTTCCCTCTTTCCACCTACCCTGCAATTCCCTCTTTCCAACGTATGTTGCATAGGCAGCTTCCACTCTTTTGTACCTGCCCTAATGTCCCATTTATTTCTGTCTGCTGGTCAATGATCACGCTAATTTAATCAGCAGTTAGCCCCTTGTCCTCCTCTGCTGTGAGGGTTGCTAAGACAGGAAAGAAAAGCTAGCTCTCTGTTTCCAGCTGTTCACTATTGCTTTGCTATGAGGACACTGAACTCCTTCAGGAACCACTGGAAACAAAGCAAGCCAACACTTCGTGACAGAAGCTCCCACCACTATTTTGATAAAACCAGGAACTCACGATTTAAAATATTCCATTCAGTCTCTAACAGCAGTAGGATTTTGAATCTTAGAACTGTATGACAGTCAATAACAGTGGTCATTGACAGTATTCGTAATTGCCAATGAAAAAAAATGCTCAGTTATATTTTGGAATTTAAATATCACAAGTTACAATCAAATTTCATTAAATAGGGCACATAGCACACAATCCAACAAAATATTTCATGCTGTGTACATTAATGCTCTCCATTTGTCATTTTGAACAATTCCATAAGATCACGGCATGAAGCAAACATACATTTTCAAAGTCTCGTAAATGTAAATGTAGCAGAACACTCTGTACTTCCTTCACAAAAAGAAACTGCATACAGGTGCCATAACTGAACTAACTTTTTCTGCACAAAGTTCTACTATGTATCTTTGTAGGTCATTCTGCTCCAAACATTGAAGTAGAAGGAAACATCCTCTTCCCTTTTTTACCAAGGGTTGCACCTTGCAATTTTTATTCCTAAATAATATATATTTATCTCCCTCACAGCATTGCAAAAGCTACGCTACTTATCTGACCTCTGTTTTCCTTCCTGTACACCAGTATTGTCTCATTTGTGCATTTATTTCAAAAGACCTACAAGGATCATCTATGCTCTCAGTCTGTCCATCCTCAAGCATGAGCACCCTCAAATCTTTGTACTTCCCTTTTTTCTTTAATGGAAACACTTTTCTTCATCTACACGGCCACTGGTAGTTCTATTCCCTGTAAACAATGCAAGCATTAAGTTTCTAACAATGCTAGCATTAAGTTTCTATTTTTTACTGTTAAAGAACTTCACACTTGAGTTGGTCTCATCAAGACCCCCTAATCTCTTCAAACTCCACACTTGCCTGTAGCAGGTGACCTATAAATAAGAGATGCACTGAGGGGGGTAGCTGTTCATTATGTTTTAAACACTTGCATACAGAGACAATGTCCCCATGCACAAGGACCTGAAAGCAAGAACAAAGTTACTGCAGTTTTTTGATATCCTGGACCTATGAGTATTCTTTGGAAACCAAGAACATGAAAAAAAACTTTCAAGTACTCTACCATGTTTAGTCAAAGGTAAACTTGGAAGTGTCTCTCCAGAGAAATGAACATCTCTGCATGTGGTCTCTTTCCACAGAAACCATACCGTAAGCAACTTTGAAAAAATGCTTTGTTTGCACTGTATCAGTATGGAGGGCTTACCCGTAACACATTTTAAAACCTTAATTGAAAGCAATTCAATTTCTTACCATGGGTTACAGTTCTACAAACACAAAAGACTCTGCCACGAGTATTACAAAAATAAGCTGTAACAACAAATACCTTTATACAGGTACCAAAGGTATTCACAGGGGGAGGTTCTACCATTTTTGAGTTAAAAATTTTCCATCAATTTAATTACAGCTCTTACATTTTATATGTGTACATTTAAATCTTTAAATGACATTTAGCCAGTTGTCTTTACCACAAAAAAAAGAGAACCAGTTATGACTGAGTCACAAGTATCAGCAGGCTATTCCAGTGAATCCTCCTGTTTCACTTCAGAGCAAAAATCACTGAGAGATATATAGAAGTGACTTTTTAAACACTGACTTGAAAGGGAAAGATTAGGTTAATTCAGCTTTATGTTCACTAGCAATACTGCAGATTTTTGCTCTGTTTTCTAAGGGATGAGAGAAAAGAGATTGTTTTTTTGGGACTTTAACTCAGTTTTGGGAAACAACTGGAGATTTTTCAATTAGGTTTGTTTTGTTAAATTCAGCTAGATTACAGGAAGGCAATAACACCTTTGTAGTAGTTTCAAATCAAGCACCACTGATTTTAAAATAACAAAATGCACAGCTATTACAAAAAACTTTTTTTTTCCCCTTCAGACGTGTGTAAATAGAAAACAAGACAGAAAACTACAGTAGCGTCAAAGCCAATTAATACTCTTCAGTCACATTAGGCACTCACTGAAAAAATATAGATTTAAAAAAATTGCTACTTTTTTTTTCCTTTTTCCACTGTATGTCTCTAATTGCAAAACTAAGGGAATACTCTATCAATAATAATACCTCAGTGCAATTCAGTAGAGAGAGAACACGGTAAATTCTTAGATTATGTCTTTTGCATATTAGCAATATGCAATTATCCATAACACCACAGCATTTCACCTATATTCTAACACCTACCTTCAATTCGCACTGACTGAAAGATTCAGTAAAACAAAGACAAAGTTCATATCTTCCAGCTCACATCTGCTCAGCTGTGGTTCACTACATAGAACACACACAACGTAGTGCAACTTTGTTTGTTTTCAATATAGTTTACAAAGTTGAAACTGGGGCCACATAAACCTTACTAAAAACAGACAAAAAAACCCCTACTTATCTACATTAAATAGTACAAAATGTTCACCTTTTAAAATTAGTAATTTCCCTCAGACTGTTCAAGACTACCTCTAACTCCCAGTCTATCAAAATATTATGTGCAAAAGAACACTTTCAGATCAGAATAAATTAAACTTTCTACTGTGTTAACAGTCTGGGGAAGGAGAAGGTACAGTGGGATAACGCTCCTTCCACTCACAAACCTACAAATAATTCATTTTCCTTCATCATGACTGTATAAGTCCATACTTGAGATCATTCCCCAACTATTCAATCCAGCTGGACTCTGTGAGAAACTTCAGAATTCCTTTCCTATCTTAAAAACAATTCCAACAGACAAATAAGCAAATATGCTCCCCATATACAGCCTCATCCTGCAGATGTTTTCATATATGCATAAGTCCACTAAATGTAGCTCCACCGAAGCAGAATTACTGATTTCATTAAAACTAAGCAGAATTGGACAGGTGAACAGGAAACTAGAGAGGACACCTCTGCATCCTGAGAAGTAGCACAGAATAGCAGCAGCCTACTGGCATCGCACATGCATTTAATTCTGAGATTACTATACTTTCAAGTATGACCAAATATAATGAAAACTGGTGTACTAAAGATCTCTGTTTTTGTAATCCTTATACACAATAATATCACATTATCAGTGGTCTACAAAGCCTCTGTATTAATCCAAAGAAGGAAAACCAAACAACAATTGTAAGAACACTTGGGTACCATAAACACCTTTGTGTTGTGGAACTAGTATTTCCTAAAAGGTATTTAAAGATATTTTCTTTACTTTAACTATTAGAAGAAACAATAGTGCAGCAATAAATACATGTGTAGATAACAAGCTGTTAAGGAAAATTCTACTCTCTCCTTTTTCCAGGAAGTGGGGATAGAAAATAACATCAGTTAAAAAATATTGGGGCTATTACTACTGTCTATAATATCCTGTAAAAACACAGGAGGCTGATTTTACTGTGAACATTCCTCTCACCAAGCTCCTGTCAAGAAAGGCTCTAGTAAGCACTATCTCTATCACTTTCTGATTGTTAAGAGTTCTACACAGCAGCTAAACATGAAGAAGCTTTTTTTCCTCTCTTACAGGGCTTAGTCTATGAAACACATAACCACACAGTATAGCACCACAATACACAGTTATTTTTTTAAAGTCTCTGAAACAGCATTTCACAATGCTATTGTTAGTGAAAAATCCAGAGTACTATTTCACGTTACCAAATGTTGCAGTATGTCTAAAATAAGTCAGACATACCAGTTAAAAAAAAAAGTTTATTTAATCTTCGGGGTTTTAACAAAAACTACCATACTTGTAAAAATAAGAAAATTGATAGGTGTTACAATGCCTAAACGATTGCTTCCTATGAAAGTTGAACTTCAGTTTCATTGCAGTCTTCCAAGCATGGTACAAGGCACATTCAGTGTTAACACTCTCATCACCTGAGTGATAACAGCTAAATTTTAATATTTATGATAAATTAGTAATTGCTTGAATAAAGGTTAAAGACAACTCACCACCATCCCTCTCTCTAACTCTGTGAGTATGCAAACTTTTTGCTTTACTGTGCCCTGTGTTGTCACCATACTTGTTTTCAGGGCTATCAGAACGCCGCAACATTTTATTTGGTGGTGAAGGATCTGTGGTGTCTCGCATCTTGTCATGACGGTGATCACCACCACTGGGGTGACTCTTGGATGAATACTTAAGAGCCTGTAACAGATCACAAGAGAACAGACGTTCACATTAGATATGAAGTTACAGACCTGATGTTAAAATGTTATCTCTAAATTTTAGATCTCTTTCCAAAACACTTCTTAGAGTTAATTAATTTTCATTTCTCATTTAAACAATCAGCATTAGTCTTTCTGATTTTAGTTACCCACATTAAAGCAACAAGTTCTGTAATTAGAACTCAAACCATTTTCTCCCACTATCACATCCAACATAACACTTGCTGTTACAAAAAACCTAATTTCTCTATCTTTTCACTAATGGACTACACACTTTGAGCAGTAAATGGGCCACAGTACTTCTGGACTTTTGGGAGAAGCACAAGTCTCCACTTGGTATTAAGAATATAAACAGAAAGTTACAATGAATCAGTATAAACTACCTTGAACTTCTGAAAGGTTTTTTCAGTACTAGCACATGTAATTAAAAAATTCTAGAATTCTGGGGGCCCAAAATACATAATGTGACAATTCATTTTGAAGTATTTACCAAAAATTACATGTTCTGCCTCACTTTGACCTGCTTGATTTTGCAGTTGAAGCTTCTGAGCACTAAGTGTTTACATTTATGTTAACTGTCACTGACAGCTGCCTTGGACTGTCAGATTACACTTCACAGTGATACAAATACACAGAAATGTAATAAAACAGTTCAATTCTGTACCCTAAGGAGAGCAATATCACAATATATGGCATTCTCCAGATTCACACTCTGAGAACTGTTTTTTTTTTTCAGCAGACACAGCAGAGGAATACAGTATCCACCTTACAGAAATTCAAGTTATTGTCGACAGCTTAAGGATTTGATGGTTTCTGACCATGCCTAGCAGCTGGCAACTGCAGAAATTAAGCCTTACTGGCAACCCCAGTTATTCAGGGTCTAAAACCATGCTCTGCTCAGGTTACAGTTCACAGCAGCAGTTTTGGGGAGAAGAAAGGACTTGGGGAGGGGGGTGGGGAAAGAACGGAGGGGGGTGGGGAAAGAACAAGATGCCTTTTGTTTTTAAAAGGAAAACACTCACCTCCCCCTGGATCTCCACTCCACTGCAAATGACCCCGGCTCGCTCTCCCGCCCCTCGTACCGTACCCTCCCCGACTCCTAGGCCCAAGCCCTACGCGGGTCGCGCT